AATGACCTAAGGGCCAAGGAAATGCAAACAAAATCACAGTAATATTAGGTCAAATTGTAAAAGGCACATGTGACAAATAACACTAGAAAAGTGATAAATAAAAATAGAAATGCTTATCTGCTCCAGATGAGTGACATTTCCCCTACTAATTACAAACTGCCCTTTTTATTACTGACTGAATAAGTGTTAAGACTTAAAGAAAGTAATCTGTAAAATTTTTTTATTATGTCCATAATTTAGTTAAAGGACCTTTCATTTTCTCTTACCTTCTCTTTGCTTCATATGGAAAACTCTACTTGAAATTTCATACAGTAATACACTTCCCAATATCTTAATTTGGAAGAGCAATGATACCAACAAATCTCCAGGGTTTAATGTTTAACTCAAATTTCTTGTTTTTTACTCAAAGAAAGGTGTATTTTTATACATTTAATGTACGTTTCTACACATTCCTGCTCAACAATCCTGACATTTAAACTAACCGAAGTCAAGAAAACACAATATAATGCATACCACATAAAAAAAGCATAGAATCTAAATTATTATAGAAATTTCTTTAAAGATCTACATACGTTCTTGTCACATCTTGTTCAATCATTGCTCGAAGCTCTTTATCCTGGAAAAATTTATTCCAAAGACTCTGAAATAAGGAAAAATAATTGTATGGAACAGACTTCTAATACTTAAGGCTTATATACTACATCAGCAAAGTACTGTACAAATATTAACTAATTAATCCTCAGTATTCCTGGCAGATACGTATATCAATATTTTATGGAGAAAAAGAATGTTGGTGACCAGCCCAACATATCTGAGAAAATCAGTTTAGATCAGAGACATAAACTTTCAAGTTCTTAGTTCCTTTTTCTAGGCTCACTCCATTTGCAGGTCTGTGAGTTACTTGTAAGGGGTCTATGAAGAATATTTAGAAAGGTCGAGTAAATTTAAACTTACCAGCAGCTCAACTGAAAAAACTTCAGTAGCTCACTCACGGAAAAAGGTCTGTATCACTGTACTGTACTACATTTCCCCTATGAAGGTATGGACTCTATGTATGCATGGAAGCTGCCATAATTTCCACACTAAGAAATTGTTTGGAAGTAAGTTAGTTTGTCTTAGTGGAGGCAAAATTGAATAGGGAATGTATGACGAATAAATACCTATTAGGAAAATGACATCATTCTAATGGTACATATACACAGTGCAGATCAAGACTGACCATTCTAAAAATGTTCTGATAGGAAAAAACAGGGTATTTAAAGCTCACTGTCAACATTAAAAAACGTTAAACAAAAGAGCTTGAAGTAGGTTTATCTGCTTCTACATCTGTGCTTATGCCCATTTCCATTCTCTTTCTTTGGTTTCCATGCCTTGTTTACCAATATTTTGCAAAACCTAACCTGAAAGAAGTGAGCAAACGTTGTTGGCTGTATGGTCCAGAAAAAGTATTGTAAAGCCTATTCTTGTAAATGGATGGCAGCTTGGCCATATTGATCAAAATACAGAAGGAACAAAATCTACAGCAGCCTCTTCATGCGGGTTAGTTTTCAGACAGCAGCAGCAGCACTAGTGAATGAAATACGATATAAAGAGAGTGGATACAATACTTCCAGAATTTCTTGCTCCCTGTAAGCAATTCAATGCCATGGTGGCTTATGCTCCACAGAAAAAAAAAAGAGAAAGTAAATTAATGTTATCTAGCAGAAGGAAGGTCAAATAACAAATAGGAAAATGCTAAATAGCTTCTATATTTGTGCTACAAATGATGAAAAAAACACCAAACTTTAAAAGCATTTATATCCTTGACAATGCCTTATGTAAAACTAGTATCTTTTTAAATCACAGCTCTTTCCATGCAGCTAGATCACATTTTGAAACTCTCCTACCCCTGCACCCACCCCAGACCATCAGAGCAAAGGATAAAGGAAACAGAATCTGCATTGCCAAAAAGGAAGCAAAACCCAGGACATTGAAAGGGTAAAACACTAAGGCAGTGCAGAGGCTCAAAGGCACTTCGCTCTTCATTCCTGTGCCTGATTCAGCCCGTGGCCTTGTTTTATTAATTCCCTGCCACATATTCTGACATGTTAACCTTTGTCTTCCATATCCTAAGGACATCTTAGGCAGAAAAAAAGGCTGTGCCACTGTGTCTAATCAAAAAGTACAGCAGAAACACTTTAAATCTTTCACATTTGACACAACTTTCTGTCCAGCTGGGTGCAAGAATGGCTTGATGGCATGCAAAGTCATACTAGCTGCAGAGCCACCAATGTGCCTACGATCAATACTTCCATGTTTCAACACGCAAATCTCTCTCTCCTTCTACATTAAACATGAAGCAGAGCAATACAAATAAATACAAACAAAACATGGGCTTCTGTTTGTGAACAAAATGGAAATACAAGTAGTACCACCAAATACATCTGTGACAGTCTTTCCAGGTGTAAATATCTTAAATGCAGACAAACAAATTATTTTCATGGTATTAACATTGGAAATCTGATAAAAAAGAATTTTCAAAAATGGTAACATAATTAACAGAAAAGCTTAAAGATATGTGCTATAAAATACCTAAGAGCTTTTCAGGTATAACAAAATACAGTAGAAAAACAGTGCAAAAAAAAAGTTGCTTAAAATTAAGCTCCCAAATCTACATGTAAGCCCCCCTCAAAGTGTCATGACTTTGAAAATTCAAAGCTACTAGGAGGTCAAATTTCCATGAGAGCTGGATGCTCTGCACTTAATGACAATCAGGCCAAATACTTTTACCACATTTTCAGTATTTCTTTAGAATCTGGATCTTTCATTTTGCAGCTGGCTGCTTTCTGATTAGAAAAGAAACTTTTGTTTCCTTTAACTATAAAGAAAAAGAATTAAAAACCTTGGAAGAAATGCCTATCTTGCAGCCTGGTACTTTACGCATTAACTCAGCACGTATACAACTCAGACATACAAAAATTCTATTTTTACTGAAGAAAAGCTTCCAAGGCTGAACAGTCTTCCAGAGGAGGGTTCTTCAATATTTCCTGTTAACAGCACTCCCTTCATATTGACTGTTTAAACATTCCTTCAAATAGAGCCATTTTACATATAAAATGAAAACACACAGTGATAAAAAAGCATATCAGTTAAAGAAAGGATATGCTGTGAAACCAGACATCTAGTCCAGCACTGATCTTTTGTTCATCACAGCCTTTCCTGCAAGAAGACCCGAAAAATCAGAATATTAACCTGGAATTGAGCATTTCTGGTTGTTCAGCAGAGCCTGTGAACCAATTGTTAACACCAGTTTGTTTGGAAATTCAGGAGGGAGATTTTAGCACCTGCCATTTTGCCTTCTTCAGCAAGAACTCACTTGTGTCAGTATGATGATGATGATAATTTTAGTAGTGCATGTTGACAGAACCAAGGGTCAACTTACCCCCTCGTCCTGAGAGAGTGGGTTGTTGATTATCAGATCTTGCTGTCCTGCTTTACGAGGGTTTGTTATGTGCTGGATAAAAACAGAAAAAAAAATCAAATCCTCTTCTGCTATACTATAAATATTAATATCTATGTCAAAGCATGAGAGTAGAGAACCTATTTTGTACCAACTTACAATTTCTTTGATCTTATTGTAAGAAGTTCTTAAGTCTGAAGTGGTTTTAATCCATTGACTTCTGTCTTGGGGTAGAACCTCCAAAAATAACTATCAACAACACAAAATAAATCCATTAAGTTTCATCAATTTAACATAGCTTTTAATATAAATCCTACCAGACAGCATAAGCCATCTCAGAAAGGAGGAGCAACTACTCTACACATAAGAAGAAAACAAAGACCTAGAAAATACTCCTGGCTTCAGTACTTTACCGTCAATAAATAGAGGGAAAACATTAATCCATAGAAAAGAAACATGTTCTAGAATTCTGCAAGATAGTTAAAAAGAGTTGACTTTGCAAAAAGTCCTTGAGAATGCCTCTAAGTTCTCTTACATTTCTGTTTAAAAAGGGTTAGAAAGAAATATCTATTAGAAAATGCTATTTAATTACATATGAAACAAGGAAAAAAACCAGAGTATTTTCTTGCTTTTTAAATGTTTTTATTTACATATGATAGTGTTAAGAAACAATAAATACTGACAAAAAAAACCCATTCCCAAATTACTAAAAACTCTTAAATATTTCAGAACTTAACAAAACCAGAATGTTTTAAAACATGCAGTCTAAAATGGAGCCCTAACCCATACTGTGACATGCAAATAAAATGAGCCTTACTTCTCAAATAAAACCAATCTTTGATTTAATTACTGGGCAGTGAGAGACTTGATGCTTTTGTTAGTTCAGGGTTTTGAGTTATGGCTGAAGAAGCAGCAGACTGGTAAAACAATGCTTGTGGCATATATTCATCTGGCCTTCCGAATAAAGTATTTTCATTAACTTTAAATGTGTTCAATGGTACACATATTTCACATTTCAAATTTTGATTTTCAAATTTATTTCATTCATATACAAAAAGTATTTTCATTTTCTTTTGATAGTTCTTTGTGCCAAAGTGAAGCTTCAGAAACTTCAAGTGAGGTAATTTAAAATACCAGTGCTAACATACAGCAACTGTACTAGGGAAAATGTTCTTATAGTTAGTGCAGAACAGAAGACCTGATGCCAGTGCAACAAAATGCTTTTGGACTTTATAGAGCATCTCAGTATTACTTTGCTTTCTTTCTCTCTTTCTTCGCCTGCAACTTTAAAAAATACAGTAAGAGACCTCTGAGGACCTGTTATGTTTTAAGATTGGAAGACCCTATCTATTCCCTCTCTATCTAGTCATTACAAGAGGGATTGGTCTTCACTTTCTCATTTCACTGGGAAAAGCTGCTAGCAGAAGCATCAGACTGATTTTAAAGGAATCCCGAATTCCACAAAACATATATTGTGAGACAAACATCCTTTTTATTTCCAGTGCACAACTTCACTGCACAGTGACTAAGAGAAGAGATGGCTGTGTGGCACTCAATTCTAAACACACCACCAGCACAAAGATATTATTTCCTAGGAATTCAGCTTTAAGGCACCTCAATATGATTAGCAAATGTCCTATGAATTATAAAAATGAGTAGGAAAACACTGGGATGAAGTCTCTCGGAAAATTCATGATTCTTTGCATCAATAATCTTCCAGCGCATCAGGTAATGTGTTGATATATTCCAACCACAAACTGTAAATAAATATTTTCTCTTCTTACCTTCCAGCAAACACTACGGAACCTGCTGCTTCTCAGCTGCCCATTAATCCCCTTCAGCCGTATAGTTGCCAAGTAATTGTTGTTCACAAATAGTTCTTCCCATTCTTTACTGAGTGCAAAAGCAAAAGGAATGATACGTTAAACAAACAAACAAACAAACAAACAAACAAAAGCCATAGCTGATTTAAGGACTATATGACACCACACAATTTTGGATAAGCAGAGGAAAGGAACTTTTTAAATGTATATATTTAGTTGTGTACCATTTCTAAACGCATGGCTGTCTTTTTGGACACATTTCTTCTTTGGATTTAATGAATATGTAGATCACTATAATTATGCCAGCTACTGAAATTCATAATGTCTATGGAGGCTATTCCATTTCCTCTAAAATGTTGGTACTGCAGCTCAGTGAATAAACAAGAAAAATGAATATTAATATAAGCACATTCATGTTTCAGCTGTAGACAAAGAAGTACCTATTCCAAAAATATGCAACAGAAAAGTATACTGTTGACTGTATTAGCCCTCACATGATGTATTTGCTTAAATGAACCTTCTTTTCTTCTTAATGTCAAGCTGGGCAGTTAAGCATAATAGAAGATGACTTTCTTTAACATTTAGTGCTATTTACTATTGAAATCACTCCTACTTCTTTCTACATGATCAGTTTTAAAATTTTAACAGGTGCTAGCAAATTTAAAAAAACATCAAAAAATTAAAAAGCCTCACTGTATGAACTGTTAAAGGCAAGCTTGAGTACCTTGCAGTACCTATGGCTGACTAGATAAACAACCTAAATATGCCTCCCAGGCATGCAGGCACCAGGGGCCTAACACCTGTGCCTCATTAATATACAAGTAAATCTGCTCTACTGGGAAACAATTGGAAATTAATTGTCCCAAACCATCTACTGAGTTTGAATGAAAGAATTAAATCTATATTTCCTGCACCTTCTACTGAAACAAATCTCAAGCACAGTGTAAGCCATTTGGTGGTCTTAGTAGCCCAGGACTCATTCACGGACTTTCTGCAACCACTCTCAAATCCAAAGGGTAATTTCAACATAAAGAGCTGGGTTACGAGCAAGGAAATTTGTTTCAGATTTATTTTCAATGCATGTCCTTTAGGTGAACATCTCCTTCTCCTACTGTCACATGGGAGACTATTATTTCTCCCTGGGAGACCAGATGAAACCAGAAGGAGGGAAACTACTACGGTGACTCTAGGGTAAGATCTCACCAGACTTCCTTCACTAAGGAGGGCCACAGAGTGGGTTATATTAAATACCAACCAACTCTGGTTTTACAAACTGCCCCAAATATACACAAGGTAGAGTTTTCAGCCTTTAAGCTGAGTTGTGAGGGTGAGATTTTTAGATAAAACTTGCTCAGCTTCAGAGCAGAATTGTATGATACAGTTGCTGGGAATAGTTGGGGAATGGACTTGACAAGCCAGGAAATTATGGTCTTGTTCCTCTGAGACAGGCGCGTGCTCACAATCCACACTGAGACTAGAAGCATCGTGTTTGTGAATGTAGGTTTCAGGTAGGATCATTTTCTAAAAAAAATGGGTGTTTACTTCTGGGTCTTGATTATCAATTACTTTGAAAAGCAAAGATACCCTGGGTAGGAGCAAAGATGACTAAAGCAGTGCTAGCTTGCCGGGACTAGGGCTGCTTTATAGCTCCTGCCAACTGCCAGTATTGCCAGGTGACAAGAACAGCAGCAAGTAACTCCAATGGTGTGGGGCACCTCTGTTCCTTCCTGCCACATCCCCTACTCTGTAACTCAGAAAGGTTATCTGGTCATTTCACTGGCTCCCTATCGCCCATACATCCTCACCTTTTGCAGCAAGCTGATTACGATTGTTTACCATGATTCTGCCTCCTTTAAATATAATGCATGGTATATAGCACACACAGCTTGAGAAAAATCTGTCCCTTTCAGTCATTTATACTTCAGCAACTACAGTATATTATGCCTATCTAAATAACCCTCCTGTTTCTATCATGTGTAATATTCTTCATTTGCCATTTTAAATTTTGTAGCATCACTGGCCATTATAGCTACTGTCAAGCTGCCTCCCTAAGGCAGAGATGCTTCAGGATTGGTATATTCCCCTACACACACAACAGCGCAGACTCTGAAGCTATTCATGTTGTTCTGCAACTGGATGACATTCCCACAACGTCTTTGAAAATGCTGGTACATCAGATGAGTTAGCAAAAGTTTTCAACCAGTGTAACTGTGAATGGAAAGAACAGAAGGGAAAGAAGCTCTTCAGCTTTTTTTTTCACCAACTGCTGGGAGTGATTGCTACACAGTAAGAAAGTAATTTCAGAACTTCTTAAATTGTATTAGTGCAGATACTATGCTTTGTCTTTTTTTTTTTTTCCTAATTATAATGCAATTCCAAACATGTTTTGAACAAAATTACATTTAAAACAGCCAAAAGAAATTTGGCAAGATCATATCTCCTCTGCATCCCCCCTTGGCTGCTGGGATCACTAAAAAGAAAAGTTGTAAGCAACAGAAAAAAAAGAGACTTGGAAGCTGGAATGTGCTTTAATTTCAGTAGAGCTGAATGATATCTAAAATCCTTTCTGAACAGCATTCACTAACTCATTTCACAAATATTTTGAATGAAGGCTAACAAATTAAGCCTTATAATTCTAAAAACTGTTTCAATAACAGTAACACAGTGTAATATCAACAAGCTATCAACTCTAAAAGGATAATTTCTAAAATGATTTAGTTGTACTCTGTAAAGTAATATCTATGCGCCTTGTTAACCCGGGCTTGCAGAAAACTCATTGGTCAAAGGAAAATGAGTAATGAAGATTGGAAGGCAAGTCTATCACATCCCATTTGCTTCACTGAAGTGAAAGACTTGAAGAGCCAATTGGAACCACTTAAACTATGAATAAGCACATGCAATTGTTTTAAACCAAACTAGAAAATTAAATACATAATCATGTGTTAATACCACCTTTAGGTTGTACAATTAAAACAAAGGCAAATGACAGTGTTAATGTTTTCTGTTTATTTTCTTTTAATTTCATATTCTTACTTAAACATCCTGTCTAATATAGTATCACGCATTTTGTAAAGTCTTCATAATGTAAGACCTGCCCAAGGAAAAAGTAATTGGATTAATTTTCTTTAAGAAACTTAATTTCACATGCTGTATCTATGCAGTAACTGTCCAATGTAAAATATTTACTGGCATGCGTTAGGGACAGTTGCATTACTCAGAAGTGGGAAAAGCACTCAAGATGTACAAATGAAAAAGCAAGAAAATCCATGGAAGGGATGAAGGTTGCAGATTTGTTCTGAAAGGTTTGTTCTTAGTTTTCATCTGTTCCTTTCCATCTTTTGAAACAGGCATTTACGTCATAACTACAAGAATCCGAATCTGTCTGCAGAAGGATTTTATACTGGGGTCTGCTCTGATACACACACACACTTACATGAGTAAAAGGACTGAGGCTGATCTAGCAAACCACATATAAGCATGTTTATTCTTCACTTTCTTTACAACAGGATGTGTTTTGTGGATCTGTGTGATGGGTTTGCTGTTGGCTGGGGGC